GGAAGGTTCAAAAGAACCTGTAGTTTGTCCAAAGTAGGGAAGTTATATGCTGCTCTAGAACCACCAAGTCTTGGGTTCAAGTGCTGACTCTCTTTTAAATGAGGTTCTAATCTCAGAAACTCACCACAGGAGCATTTTTCTCTCGTGGGATAGTGGTTATTCATTGGGCTATGATCTACAAGGTCAGCAGTTCAAAACCACCAGCCGCTCTGTGGGCGACAGAGAAGGCTTTTTACTCATAGGTAAATCACTACAGTTCCGTAAACCCACATGGAAACTTCTACCCTGTCCTATAGGGTCTCACTGAGTCAAAATTGACTTGCCTGCAACTGGATAGTATGCATTTACCCCTAACCTTGGATAGCATGCATTTACCTCTACCAGCCTCAGCTTCCTCATTTGCTCAATGAGTCTGTGCAGAAGATTACAACAGAAATATATGCAAAGCACCTGGCCCACTCACAGCTCAACTTGAGCAGCTAGATAAACAGGCTCTTGCGCACACACACACACACACACACACACACACAACGTGCGCAACAAAGAATTCCCTCAAGAGACAAGGCCATCCATCTCACCCACTCAACTGATTTTTCATAACATATGGTAGATTTCATAATCCAACTGTCCTAAGAGCTAAAGTCGAAGTTGGAGTGGGGCTAGGAAGGTCTGAGCTCCAGCTGTGCTTGCTCTGAGGAGCTGTGTTTCACTTCTCTCCTACTTTGACCTTGAACATAACAGAAGTGGAACACCTTCGTGGCCCCCACTTCTATATCCATTACCTTGATCGCCATCCACACAATTATCCAGAGGCTGGTCACTGACTGGACACCGTCTTAGTCTCCTGGTGCTGCTGTGGCAGGAAGCCTACAAGCAGGTGGCTTTAGAGAATAGGCTCTCAGACATGGGACTCGGGAGAGATGCTCTGTAATTAGAAGGTCAGCTCTGGAGGCCAGGTGGTGAGGCTCCTGACCTTTCTTCCTCCTCATGGCCTAAAGAACAGTCCTTCTTGGGCCTGGATCAGCTTCTTTCTAACCTATCTTAAGATGAGCTATTGTTACTTCACC